TTGGAGGAATACAATCACTTTTTTTTTTTTTTTTCTTTTTCAAGACAGAGTCTCTCTCTATTGCCCGGGTTGGAGTGCAGTGGCTCGATCTTGACTCACTGCAACCTCCACCTCCTGGGTTCAAGCAGTTCACTTGCCTCAGCGTACCGAGTAGCTGGGATTACAGGCATGTGCCACCATGCCCAGCTAATTTTTGTATTTTTAGTAGAGATGGGGTTTCACCATGTTGGCTGATCTTGAACTCCTGACCTCAACTGACCCACCCGCTTCTGCCTCCCAAAGTGCTAGGATTACAGGCGAAAGCTACCGTGCCTGGCCTTATGATCACATTTTATAAAAATCGCATTGCTGTAGTTTCAGTTCTCACTAAATCATTCTTGCCAAATATATTTTTCATATATCCATCTCTAATAATAGTATTTTCCCAATTAGATTTATCCAGTGACTCTGCATTGCATGTAAGAGAAACTATAAACTCTTTTGCATGATGTGTCAGGTCATTCATATTTTAGCTCCTTTCTGTCTAGCTTCATCTCTAACAAGGCATGCTCGCCATATATTCATGCTTTGGCATGTACTGTTCTATTTGTCGGGAATGCGCTTCTTGTGATTTGTCTTAGAGACAAACTCCTGTCAAGTCTCATTGCCATAAAGCTTCTCTGTGCAACTGACTTAGGTTTCCTCTGTGATGCTCCCAGTGTGCTGTAATAGTAGTTTTTATAATGTATTATAATTATTTTAAGATTTTGATTTCTTTGTATGTTGTTAGCTCCTTTAGAGCTGAGACCTCATCCTTTTATCTTTATATTCCCAGATTTTAGTATGGAATCTGGAACAAAATGGATAATAAGTATTTATCGAACAAGCTCAAAATTAGTTACTTTACAAATTTTAATTTAACCAAAGTATTTTACATTATAATATCAGACGAAATTAAGGGAATAAAATATGCTTATGGTGACTCTATATCCCATTTTCTGCAGCAGTTCTAAATTTGAATAGTCTACTTCATTGGCCTTTAAATGTAATTAATAAAACATACCATAATATTTTGTTTAGAAGTACAATATACACATTGAACCTATACCTTAAATTTAAAATTGTATACAATTTATTTTTATAATTCAATTTCATGTATTTGTTAAAAGAAAAACTTGAGATATAAATTTAACAGTGTTTAATTGAGCAAAGGACAATTCACAAATCAGGCAGCCCCCATAACCAGCGTAAGTTCAGAGCAAGGCCAGGGCTGCCTCATAGTCAGATGATATTTCTGGACCAAAAAAAAAAACCGAAAATGTTGGACAGAAAATGGAAGTGAGGTACAGAAACAGCTGGGTTGGTTACAGCTCAGTGTTTGCCTTATTTGAACACAATTTGAGCAGTTGGCTGCCTGTGATTGGTAGAAACTTTGTGATTGGTACAAGAGTAGGTTTCAGCCTAGTGACAGATGCATTTAGGTTACATTTCACTATGTATGGAGAAACTTTTAGGCCAAACTTAAAATATACAAGGAGTCAGCTTTAGCCTAAATTTAACATATTTTATGTCTTTTTTCTTATACAGGTCCCTATGAAAGCAATGATAATGAAAAGCTGAAATTCAGGATAGAGAAATACCTGAATTATTTTTTAGCTCTGCTATTTTGCTGTGCATTATGGTACTAATTATTGCATATCTATATGAATACTAATGAATGCAAATTTTTGAAAATTTATAAATCCTTAGATATAAGGCTCTGCATAATATGATTAAGGTTGTTAACAAGAACTGTGTTCCCAAAAATATTCTGACATTAGTTGCTGGAATAGTAGCTTTCAATCTTTTTGGACTTTTCTGTTCTGATGTGCTTTTTTAAATTTGAGGACCCCAGTGTACTCCTTGCCGTCCTTCTAAAGGCAGATTATTTGTATGAATAGGTTAAAAATAATTTTGTATTCTTTAATACGCTCAATTGGAGATAACATAGCATATCACAAGGCCATGGGTGATAATCATACATAAAAAATGCATTTATCAGTCAGACCCTTTACTTTTTGAGAATTCCCAATTTGAGTCTGGAGCTGCTTCTAAGATGTTTTTGTCATTGACTAGAAAGGGGATAAATATTGGCAAAGTAAAAGGAATGAATGTTTAGAGCTGAAAAGATGGACTGTAGATCTTGGTTCCATGACCTACTATTTATGTTTCTTTGGATGTAACAATTTCTTTGAGTTTCAGTTTACTCATCTCTAAAATGATATAATACCTACCTAAAATGGTTATGAAAATAAACAGTAGCTTTTATGACAGTAGTACCTAGCAAGGAATAAGGTTTTCATAAATTGCAGCTCTTATCGATATCAATAAAACCCTAGGAATAGGTAAAAGATTTTCCTGTTACACCAAATATTGAGTTATTTGTCTTATTGAGTAGTTGTTACACTGTCTCTGCTTTCCCAAGCAGGTTGCTCTTTGAGACTCTAAAAACAAAGTGGTTTGAAGATGGCAGAAATCAACAAGCAGAGTCATTGATTATTGTCACCTTGTCTGGGAGAGTGCATTCCTTCACTTCTGTTCCTGATATGCCAATTAGAGAATATCAATCTGTTTACTTCACCGTTCATCTTGTTAGACGTAATATCATTACCACTACTTCCTGTCTACATAGATTCCTGGTAATGGTTAAGGAGTTCCTTTGGCCAGAATCCTTTGGTCCAGTCTCCTCTTTTTTTCCCTGTTACAGACTTCTGCCTCTTTTAGACTGTAGAAACAGTGAGACTCTCCCAAGAATGTGCTGACATCACTGGTTTTTTGAAATGGCTAAATAGTGCAACCTCACACATGGAATTGGAAGCAGAATTTTATTACTCAGTTTCATTAGCTTGGTTCACTGAAAAAAGGACTTTCAGCTAATGAAACTGAGTAATAAAATTCTGCTATTTTGTACCTCCTCCATAATCTTTAAATATCACTGTCATTTTGCTTTCAACAAAAGAACCTCCTTTCTGCATTTTAGAACAAAGGGGAACTTTCTCAACCTCCAGCCACTGAGTCTACAAACCCACTTGCTAGTGTACCCATTAGTTTCCTGGTCTTTAATTTGCTGGTCAAATGTGTCATATTCCTGCCTCCAGTTATTTCTCTGCTTGCACTTCCCAGCCAGACTTTCTGAAACACTTGTTTAAGAAAAGTTCTCTTTTTATATTCACTACCCAAATTGGTTCCATTTACTTCTCTAGAACTGCTCTCACACTCTTGATTGCCACGTAGCCATCTACATCTGTTCCCACCATACTCGCTTGACATTGGAGACATATGAAAACTGCTTCCTTCAAAAACGTCCTTATTCTGTCTACCACACACTCCTGCTGCTCTTTCTGCCTCTGTGACCACTCCTTTTAGGTTCTTCTTCTTCTGCCTGTACCTTGAATGGTGATATTGATGTTTTCTCCTAAGCCTTTTGCACAGTTTCCTCAGGATATAGGCAGTGCTAAGTAAATTTGTTGAATTCTACCTGTACTGATGATTTTTTCCAAGGAATTTGACTGTAATTGAACCTTGTTTAACTGAAGAAATTCCAGTATATCATATCTGATTATGTACTTCGCAGCCAAACCTTGGTCTAGTCTCTGTGGACCATGATTCTCTTAAACTCTACCCTATGTTGACGTAAAAGGAAAAAGCTGAGGCAGAATTAATATAGACAGTTTATTTGGACCAGCGCTGAGGACAGCTGCCTCAGACACTTCCAAATTGCCTTGGGGAGTGCTCCATTAGGCTTTTATTATAAGCAGGTTTTTAAAAACAAAAAGGGAGACAAGAAGTGGGCTGATAGAGCTGTCTGTTAGGAATTTTCTTCTAGTTTACAGAAATAATGTTGATTAGTAATTAGCTATACATCATTGAGCTATAGGGCATGAGTTATGGTGTCTGGTTTGTGGCATTGTTAAGTCAATGGCTACTTGTGGCAATAGCAGTCAGTTTCAGTAAGGAGGAAATTGCTCTCATTTTAATTTCTCTCTGGGCCTAATAATTTAAAAGGGCTCACATTTTTCAGATGCGAAGTATTTTGTGTGTGTGTGTGTGTGTGTGTGTGTGTGTGTTTATTTTTTTAAGACAGAGTCTCGCTCTGTTACCCAGGCTAGAGTGCAATGGCACAATCTTGCCTCACTGCAACCTCTGCCTCCCCAGTTCAAACGATTCTCCTGCTTCATCCTCCTGAATAGCTGGGATCATAGGGGCGTGCCACCATGCCTGGTTAATTTTTAGTAGAGACAGGGTTTCACCATGTTGGCCAGGCCAGTCTCAAACTCCTGACCTCAAGTGATCTTGGCTCAGCCCCCCAAAGTGCTGGGATTACAGGCATGAGTCACTGCACCAGACCTATTTTTTCTCTCTAATCTCCAACATACATATAGTGAAAAAAATCCAATCTCATTATTCAGCTTTTATGTTTATGAGATTAAGTTAACATTTTGTGAATTCACTATATAGAAGGTACAAAGGTAATTTTAAATTACGATTTAATTAAGAATGCTTTTTTCAAAATGTTTTATACCTGTTTGACTATCCTATAGCATAGCTGCCCATCCTCAATAAAATAGTAATACCTTACTTGGAGCAGCAATTTGTTTTTAAATATACACAGAAGTCTATATTTGAATGTGAGGATTAGCAGTGGAGAGACAATCAATATTTAATGAAACCGTTTTATACTGGGCACAGGCATATGTATGTGCTTGTCTACGTATGGATTTTTATCTTCCAACAACTCTGAGAAATCTTGTGAAGAGGAGAAAACCAAGATAAGGGGAAGTTAGATTGTACACTGCAACATATATAGCTTCTAAAATTCAGAACCTGAGTTTCTTCTGTCAGATCTCATAGCTCGTGAATCTAAGTGATACTGAAATTTTAAGTTGAGGATGAATGCCCAAATGTAGGAATAAAATACTGAGTTCTTGAGTTTAATAAATCTAAATTGTGTTAAAAGTTGTCTGTATCATTTCTGTCCTTAGGCTGTTATTTGGCAGAAAAGCAGAGTATCAGGTCACAAGATGGCTCTCATGTCAGTTCTGGGGACTGCTGTTATGAACAATATGGAATCCTTTGAGTACCACTCTGAAGACTCTCAGGTATACAGCAAAGATGTTCTCTGATAATTCCGATTTACTAATGAAACTGTTCACATATTTCCCTTTGGGGGAATTGCAGTGGCAAAAGGTTAGTCTTTTAACATTTTAATCAAATATGTGTGTGAGGTAAAAAGAAAATATGGAACTGCTGTTAAACCTCTTTCCCCTGCTTCCCTTTTTATCTTTTCTGTTTGTTGCTTACATTGATTTTCAAAGAAATTATGTTCAATTTGGAATCTTTTCTGTTTACTTTCTACTATTAAAGAAAAATAGTTGGCTAGGTGCAGTAGGTCACGCCTATAATTGTAGCACTTTGGAAGGCCAAGGCGGGGGAATCACCTGAGGTCAGGACTTCAAGACCAGCCTGGCCAACATGGTGAAACCCTGTCTCTACTAAAAATACAAAACTTAGCCGGGGATGGTGGCACGTGCCTGTAATTCCACCTACTCTGGAGGCTGAAGGAGGAGAATCACTTGAACCCAGGAGGCAGAGGTTGCAGTGAGCCAAGATTGTGCCATTGCACTCTAGCCTGGGTGACAGAGTGAGATTCTATCTCAAAAAAAAAAAAAGGGGGGGAAAAAGAACCGTTTCTCCCTCTTTCCCATTCCAAATATGTACTTAAACTTTTTCTTTTGTTTTTGAGATGGAGTCTTACCCTGTCACCCTGGCTGGAGTGCAATGGTGTGATCTTGGCCCACTGCAACCTTTGCCTTCCAGGTTCAAACTGTTCTCCTGCTTCAGCCTCCCGAGTAACTGGGATTACAGGCGCCTGCCACCACGCCCAGCTAATTTTTGTATTTTTAGTAGAGGCAGGGTTTCACCACTTTGGCCAGGCTGGTCTTGAACTCCTGACCTCATAATCCATTCCCCCCCTTGGCCTCCCAAAGTACTGGGATTACAGGCATGAGCCACCACGTCCAGCCAACTTTTTCTTGATCTATTAGTTTTAGACAGTGCTTTTTTACTCCCTAATACTAGATGACGTTATTAACTCAAACTTTTCCTCATACTCCTTCCTCTTTCAATCATATCAGCAATAGTTTTATATTATCAAGCTTAATTATATATATATATTTTTTGTTTTGTTTTGAGACAGATTCTTACTCTGTCACCCGGACTAGAGTGCAGTGGCAGGATCTCAGCTCACTGCAGCCTTTACCTCCTGGGTTCAGGTGATTCTCATTTCTCAGCCTCCCTAGTAGTTGGGATTACAAGGGTGTGCCACCCCATCCAGCTAATTTTTATATTTTTAGTGGAGATGGGGATTTCACCATGTTGCCCAGGCTGGTCTCAATCCCCTGACTTCAGGTGATCTGCCTGCCTCGGCCTCACAAAGTGCTGGGATTATAAGCATGAGTCACCACACCCAGCCTCATGTTTTCTCATGTAGCCATTTTTTAAGTCTTCTATCTTTTGTCTCAGGATTGATTCTAAAAGTTGAAAACTTGTATGGACTATAAAACAATCTTCATTAAAAGGCCAGTGTTGTAGTAAGATTACATTTTACCTCTAAAGAGCCAGTGTTACATCTCTTATGCCTTATAAATTAGAATATTCTTACAGCCCTGATTAAATGGACTTTTCTGTTCTTGTACTCCCATCATTGCTCAGAATTTATTTTTTCTTTGCTTTAAAAATGGACTATCTTACATAGTTTTTCACTTTTTCTGGGGTTTTCAAAAGTTTGTGTCTTTTTTTTAATGAAAAAGTTTTTTTCATCATGTTAGCAATAAAATCCAACTGTTTTAGTCATCCCAGCTGCAGTTGGTGATCCATTTCATTATATCTTTTTGAAGTCATTGTTCTTAGACCCCACTTATTTCTTATTTGGATCATATCTTAGGCCTTCTACATAACTCTTATCTTCAGATTTCTTTTTATAGGAACAATGCTAGATATGAGAATTTTTGCTGTACCTTTATGTGGTTATTATTGCATAATGGAATGAGGGAATTTGGTAAGCAAGCATGTGTTAGTGTTCTACTTCCATGGGCTGCCAGAATGATAAACTTTTGAGTGTCTCTCTGGTGAGAGTGATCATCTAACTAAATCCCTCTTCTGTTATTGCGGTATATGTCTAGGGTGTTGTGTTTATGTTGCCACCAGCTACCCATCATGAATCCATGCTTTCTGGGCTTGTATGGTTGAAGGAGACTGATCCTAAATCACAGTTTCTTTGAGCCCTTTCTCCATCCCCAACCAAAAGCAATCTTGTTTTCCAACTGCTAGTTAGTGGTTGTCCTCACTCACCTCACTTCTATCCCCATTATATACCTTTAAATTGTGCAACTTGGACACCAAGGCCCCTTGACTAGTCTGGGATGACAGTGCCATTGGCCACTGGGAAACTTGGATGTAGAGAATCTTTATTATCTCTTCCCATAATATGAGGTTACCTTTCTTTTTTTTAATCTACATGGACCCCACATGCAAAGAACTAATTATTGGTGGTGATCTCAACAGGGCCACTGCTCTGGTGGCTTTTGTGAGGCGTTTCCCATCACGACTTTGTGTGCTTGATGGAGCTCCTGAAGTTATCCTTTTTGAAATCTGTCTTCCCTTTAATTATTTCCATCTCTGCATTACTTTATGCTAAGTTCTGAATACATTCCTCATCATTGCCTGCTTTTAATTCCCAAAACTATATGGTTTGTTTCCAGGATTTAAAGTTGATTTGTTTTCGTATTCTTCTCTTCTAAACTTGATGTACAGCTACCAATTTCAATTTCTTTATCTTTGCTTAATTGGATGCTACTTTTCTTTTTTAAAAAGCATGTTACATATACTAATAATTTCAAAGTCCTTTTCATATTGCTCTATCATTTCTACTTTCTTGAGGCAAAATTCTCTAATTCTCTGATATTTTGTATGCTTTAAAAATTTAATTTCAAAATCATCTTGAATTCAGGTTTATTGTTTTTGTTGCTTTATTTTTGCTTTCCCAAACTTCCCCTTCCTTCCCATAGTTTGGCAGATAGTTCACTCACTGGCCCTAATCCCACACCAGGTATAATATTAGTAATTCATGCCTTGTCTTGCCAAGATTTTACAGGCCCCATTTCTTAGCCAGTTTGGCTTAGCCTTGTTCTTGATTTGGAGTTGTCCCTGTTCTTTCTTGTGACTCTGGCAAGCAGCTCCAGACAGTGGCCACAGTATTTTTAAACTTTTTTTTTGGGGGGGGAAGAGAAGAGGTGCTATATGAGTCCCCTTTTTTAAATGGAAAAACTGGTTTCAATGCCCTGTCGTAAATGGGGTGTTTTCTGTCCTTATTTCTGTACCAGAATTTAATTTCCAGCTGATACATCTTGTTTCTGATCCTAGACCACACAGAACATTTGACTTTAGCCGTCACTCCCTGTTAAATATTTTGCAGTCATAACATCTTTAATTACTTTTATGTGGGTGGCCTTTTGAAAATTTGTATTTTATCTGTCATTGTTATATATTTGCAGTTGTGATGGGGGAGAAGGGGATTTTCACATGAACTTGTTTCATTGTCCTGACTAAAAGTAATTAAATTACTACTTTAAAAATATAACTTCATGGTATTGTGGAGGTTTACTGAAAGAGGAGAAGGATTAGTGTTAGGGGACCAGCCAGGATTGCATCAGTATAATCAGGGGTAAGAAGAGGATATGGGTTTGACAGATTGGGTAGCTGGCAGGGCTCTTATCATAATAAAGGAGTATAGGAGGAGCTAGCAGGGTAGAAGTAGGATGAAATACTTTACCAAGTTTTGAATGTGGTGAGATTGAGAATATTTTTTGTGACAGCCAGTTGAAGATAGTGAGCACTGGGGAGTGAAAGAAATAGAAGCTGTACATCTGTATATCTTAGCATCACTGGTGTATGGGTAATTGTTAAAACTATAGATGTGAATGAAATTACTCAGGAATAGTAACTGGAGAGAAGAAAAAGGGGCCTGGTAATGGAAGTTGGTGATCATCATCATTTATAGGGGGTAAGGAAAAGGAGAGAAACCAGCAAACCAGAACGAAGAAGAAGCGGAAAGACCAAGAGAAAGTTGCAACAGATTCACACAGTGAAACGCTTCCCAGACGAAAAAATTGTTACTGGTGTCAGGGGCTGCAGGGAGTCAAATAAGAGAAAGGCTGAGTAGTGTCCCTCAGAGTTGGTTCTTGAAGTACAAGGGATTAAAGTGAGGAAGCAGCCCACAGTGGAGATCAGTTAGGGAAGAGAGGTATTTGTATTGTGCCTTCAATTTTTGTTTTGCTTTTTAGGTTGAGAAATACGTGGGTACAGAATTTTGTAAAGTCATATCTAATTTTTAATTTTGTTGCACTGATTTGGTGTCTCAAATTATTTCTCTATGAACTGGCCTGATTTTCACTTTTTACACCATTTTATGAGTTTACTGTTTTACTTTACCATATAACAAAAACATAGTTTGTTCTTAAGATTATCCTAAACCATTTTTAAAGCTCAGTATCTACAATAGTAATTATACAGTGGCCAACCAAGATGGTGTGAAAGGAAATCACTAGCAGTGTTACATATTTCTTCTTCATTTTATTCTTTCTTCTTATCCTCTCAGGGCAGACTTTTTTTAAAGTCACAAACCCAGTAAGTCTTTCAGAGGCTAAACAGGCTCTTTCCCTGATGCCCAACAGATGCTTTAAGAAGGGTCTCATGTTACCTGGTAAATTATACAACCATTTTTAAATGCTGTGAAGTTTTGCAATTAAGTAAGTAGTATCATTTTATAATGGATTATACAGATTAATTTATTTTTTCAAATTGGCAAAATTTGGCATTGTGACAATAATGCACTTAGTGTTCTAAAATTGGTAATGCATCTCCTTAAATACTTAGTTCCAAGGACAGGGATAGCCATAGACATAGGTGGCAGCCTACAGGCTATGTTAATAAGGAGCCTCATGGTTTCTGCTTAACTAAAAATAGTACCCCCACTGACTTACTTGTTTTTCTCAACCTAAGCTAAAACTTTACTGTTAATGTTCCTTGGCAGATTAATAACACATCTAGTTGTTTCTGATAAGAGATTTTAAGCCTGTGTTTTAAATAACTTAACCAAAATCACATAGCTAATGGTAGAACTGGGATTCAAACCTTGTCAATCTGACTCTGTCTTATATTCTTAACAGGATAGTATATTGTCTTTAGCTTTGTTAGTTAACTAAAGATAAAAGTGGGAGCATGTTCCCTGCTTCCTATCCCTTCAATATCTTTCTCTTTTCTCTGATATTCTTTTCTACTATCCTTCTTTATTTTCTCCCTCCTCTTTATATACGTTTGTAAAGTAGAGAGACCATGTAAATAATCTAAAATTTTTACAGAAGAGTTTTCTAAACAAAAATGAAGCTAAAGTACAACAGTGCAATCAGCATTTAGCTCTGAAGAAATTAATATAGAGTAAAAGAGTCTTTTAAAAACTCAGAAATGAAAACCCAGTAATATTGGCTTTATATAGCATACTCAGAATGAAGATAAAAACAGCCACTTCTTCATAGGAAAAGATGGTTAAAGAGAAAAGGACAAAGAGCCAGAGAAAAGTCATAGTGTGAGGAAAGAAACTTTTGAAAGACAGAAAAAATGGTTGAGTAGAGAGTGAATGCTGTATGTCCGATGGCAGTTAAATATCTGAAAGTATAACCATTCATGAATATTTTTATAAATGCCAATTTTACCTTACAGTTGAAAAAATTTAAAAAAAGGCAGACAGCACCAGTGTAGCATGCTTCACTATTTTATTTAAAGTTAATACTTGGCACATGGTTATCAGGAAGTATGTGGCTTTTTAAACCTTAAGATGAAAATCTGTTTTTAATTTTTTTATACCTTTCAAAGTGTTGTATATAGCCGGACTCATGGAACCACATTTCTGACATTGCGTATTCTGTAATTACTATATAGATTTATCTCAGCGGATTTCTTCCAAAGTGTGATGCAGACCACTCTTTCACCAGTCTTTCAACCCCAGAAAGAAGTTTCATCTTCATAAACAGTCGACCAGTACATCAAAAAGATATCTTAAAGGTAATCTGTTTTAGGGAAAAAAAAAAATCATTTAAATTGGAAATTTGGAACTACCTCTATCATTAGGCACATTGTAACAAGGACTAATTCTAAGAATTTGCTCTAAAATAAAGAAAAAGAGATATAATATCATTTATTAAGCATGGTGCCTGATAAAGAGACATATAACATCTCTCTTATTCTTCACAGCAATTCTATAATGCGTTATTATCCCCACTTATAGTGAGGAAACAAATGTTCAGTGTTTCTCTTAGGCCACGTAGCCAGGAAGTTAAGAGTTAGTAGTTTTATTTGAACCCTAAACCTTCAGAACTTCCATGACATTGTGATTTTTAATTATTCAGCCAGTTTCATTGGACATTTGTACTTGCTATGAATGCTTGTGCTTCATTTGGCTTCAAGCCTCCAAAGGCTACTTATATAATGCTTTTCCTTTTTTTTTTTTTTTTTTTGAAATGCAGTCTTGCTCTGTTCCCCAGGCTGGAGTGCGGTGGTGCAATCTCAGCTCACTACAGCCTCCACCTCCTGAGTTCAGGCGATTCTCCTGCCTCATCCTCCCAAGTATCTGAGATTACAGGTTTCTGCCGCCATGCCCAGCTAATGTTTGTATTTTTTAGTAGAGATGGGTTTTATCATGTTGGCCAAGCTGGTCTGGAACTCCTGACCTCAAGTGATCCGCTCGTCTTGGCCTCCCAAAGTGCTGGGTTGACAGGCATGAGCCACTGCACCCAGCCATGATAATGCTTTTCCTAATAGGCAGTTGCATCTACTCAATTTCTCAGTTGAATCTGCTCCTTTTCATTGTACTTTAAGGTTGGTGATATTATCTTTATTTGCATATTTTTCTTTTATTTATTACATGTATTTCTAGTTAATCCGACATCATTACAATCTGAAATGCCTAAAGGAATCTACGCGTTTGTATCCTATTTTCTTTCTGAAAATCGATGTTCCTACAGCTGATGTTGATGTAAATTTAACACCAGATAAAAGCCAAGTATTATTGCAGAATAAGGTAATCCTTTTCAGATAATTTTTTGTTATACTATTTATAAACATATTCCTGTTTTTATATAAAAAAACTGTTTATATTTTTCTTTATTTAAAATATTGTCTATTATTTTCATATTTTCCCCTAAGATTTGTTAATTTGTATTTTTAGGAATCTGTTTTAATTGCTCTTGAAAATCTGATGACGACTTGTTATGGACCACTACCTAGTACAAATTCTTGTGAAAATAACAAAACAGATGTTTCCGCAGCTGACATCGTTCTTAGTAAAACAGCAGAAACAGATGTGCTTTTCACTAAAATGGAATCATCTGGAAAGAATTATCCAAATGTTGATACTTCAGTCATTCCTTTCCAAAATGATGTGCATAGTGATGAATCTGGAAAAGACACTGATGATTGTTTAAATCACCAGATAAGTGTTGGTGACTTTGGTTTTGGTCATTGTAGTAGTGAAAATTCTGACATTGATAAAAATACTAAGAATGCTTTTCAAGACATTGCAATGAGTAATTTATCATGGGAGAACACTCAGATGGAATATAGTAAAACTTGTTTTGTAGGTTCCGTTAGGCACACCCAGTCAGAAAATGGCAATAAAGGCCATATAGATGAGAGTGGGGAAAATGAGGAAGAAGCAGTCCTTGAAAACTCTTCAGAAATTTCTGCAGATGATTGGAGCAGGGGAAATATACTTAAAAATTCAGTGGGAGAGAATATTGAACCTGTGAAAATTTTAGTGCCTCAAAAAAGTTTACCATGTAAAGTAAGTAATAATAATCATCCAAGCCCTGAACAAAAGAATCTCAATGAAGGTCCATGTAACAAAAAATCAAATGTAATACATAGTAAATCTGGACAGATTACAGCTTATGATTTACTTAGCAATCGAGCAATCAAGAAACCCATGTCAGCAAGTGCTCTTTTTGTTCAAGATCGTCGTGCTCAGTTTCTCATAGAAAATCCTAAGGCTAGTTTAGAGGATGCAACAGTACAAATTGAAGAACTGTGGAAGACACTGAGTGAAGAGGAAAAACTGAAGTAAGTTTCCAGAGCTTGCATGTGACCTGAATGTTCGGCTATTTCCATTCTATATGACTCACTGTTTAAAAGGAATTATTTATGGAAAAGCAGAACGGAAAATAATGGCTTGGATAGAGTACCTTTTTTGGCAACACTTTTTTGTTGTTAATTTAGGTTTTTTGCTGGACGGGAACTTGTATTATTTTGTTTTTTGTTTAATATAAGCCTTAACTGCCTTCTGATTTATTAAGTTTGTTGTTAAAGGTTTTCCATTCATCTTAATTTCAAATCACCATTATCTTCTATTTCTTTTTGTTTTATGTTTAATAACTTGCCTGTGGTAGAACTTTTTTAAAAAGCTTTTGCATTATAGCAGTTATAATTGATGTTTTTAATACCTTAACTGTGCCCTTTCTAAATTGGTATCCAAAATATGTAACACAACACAGAAAATTTAGTATTGCAGATTCAATTTAGGGTTGTTCATTCATACTGTTTCTATTCAGTATAACTTGAGGCTTGCTTCTAAGATGCATTATTTATTATAACTTATAAATGATAGTGGGTGTTTTTGTTATGTAAATAGGTGGTTTGATCTGTCTTTGATTAAAATATTACTTGCCATCTTTAGATATCTGAATAAATGTTCCAAAATAACATGATGAATGTTTCTAATTGACTTAGGACACTTAATATAAACACAAAGTATATTCTGGTGATCTAACCCAGCAGAAAATGAGAGTGGAATTATACCTCCAATCATATACAGGTATCTAAGTATCTCAATATTATGTCAAATATGTGGACACAATTTTAAAGGTAATTCATCATCCAAAGTTTTTATTTAGTGTTCAAACTACTTAAATACTTGACCAGTATTTTTATTTTTTTAATTCTTTCCTTAGCTTATTCAGTCTTATAAAAGCAATATCAATTTAAAATGACAAAGACCACTATTAACACCAAAACAAAAAGCTTCCATAAAGCTTTTCTCTTCAGCCTTTTTTTGTCAGGCTTTTTTTTTTTTTAAGTGGGAATGGTTACTGTGTTTTGTTCTTTTGGAAATATCCACGAAAGTTGACATTTTGAAGTGTGAAGCCATTACCCCGTTTTACCACCCATCGTCTCACAGTCAGTCCTGTTAGTCCTGTTTTATCCATACTTCCATTCACTTTCTTTCCCTTTATTATTCTGAAGCAAGTCATAGTCATATCATCTATTTCAGTATGTTAACTCTAAAAGATAAAGATACTCATATTTTAACACCATAATAAAATTGTTATAACTTTTTTTAAAGGTATATATTCTTTAACATACCAAATACTCAGTGTTCAAATTTATAATCGTTTCATAAATGTCAGATTTTTAAAGATTTGTTTTGAATCATGATGCAAATAAAGTTCACATAATTGTGATTGTCTTTAGTTTTATCTAAATGATACAACTATGCAATTTAATGGTCAGGGGACTTAACTTTTACATGCAATAAGCCCACAAAAGTTGAATTGCATTACCCAAGGAAATGAATTGAGAATTGTCTGGGAATAGGAAAAAAGCATAGATATTTCAAGTTCTTATGGAAATAGGGACAGTGTACAAGCTTATGATGAAAACTTACCTTGCTGACTGTTCCTTGCAGCCTCACAACAGCAGGTATCTTTCCAGTTGCCTTTTGGGGAATGTTTGCATTGTTTCTCCTTGTGGATCCCAGGGTGTCAGGTTACTAGGATTATGATTAATAGGCCTCATCTAAAAATCTGTTTACCATCAATTACCAGAATATTTCAGGTAATATTCTGGGATCAATTTTATTTTCTCTCATATTGCCGTAAAGTAGCCAAAAGAGACATTGATGATCAAGACAGGCCTCTGAAGCTTCACCTGGGTTCTAACCACAGTTCTTTGTTAGCTTTTTATTAAAAAATGTGGACAGTCTGTCGTGGATTGTTGTGAGGATTAAATAAGATATTGTGTGTTATAATATAAGATCAGTTACCAACACATGACTGCTCACAATGTCAGTATGATCAGTTTTTAATCTATGAAAGGGAGTTTTTCTGTTGAGAGTAACATTTTTCATTTGCTGAGTCAAGATTAAATTGAATTTGGAGGCCAGAAATAGAAACCTGTGAAGAAAATATAGGTATCTTGGGATCAGAGGTCTACTGTATGTCACAGAGTACTGTGCTAGAACCTTTCAGAGCCAGGGGTCCTGGGACCATGATCAGCTAAGTCCGGAATCATGATTAGTGAGAAGGTAGAGCAAAAATGGTATGACATCCAAGAATCACACCAACTACCACTTCTCTCCCTGTCTTTATCTTGGAGTTCTTTCCATGAATCTAAATTCTCTAAGGTATATTAAGGGATATGAGAGCAGACTCCTCTTCTGTAGACCTTCAGTCCATCCTTCCTTTTCTTTCTTCTTTTTTATTTCCTGTTTTCCTTTTCCTTTCTTCTTCTCTCCATCCCTCCTTTCCCTTCCCTTCCTTCAACTAGGAAATATTAAGGGCTTTCTGTGTATAAGGCCTGATGTACTCTAGCTAGTCACTTCAGTTACAGATAAAACATACTTTACCGACTCATGAATGGTATAGGCTAGTAACAAGAATGTGATGAGCTTTAAGATATAAGTTTTAAATTTAAGGAGTTATAGAAACACTTGGAAATTGGACTTAATATTATCTGTGGGACAGGTAATGCTTCCCTGCATAGACATTAACCAAAAGGATTTTAGGGAATTGTGTAGGTAGGAGGAACATTAAGTGAGAAGGCCCAGAAGCTACAAGAAGCATGGTATTATTAAGATTTTTCTCTCTGACAGGAACAGAATATGAGAGAGTATGAGTAAAGAAAGATAGGGGAAGGTGGAGGACGGACAATGGAAGGTTCTCAAAGCTATAACAAGGAGCTTGAATAAGGAGTAGGATCAGGATTATTCAGTTATTAAAATCCTGATGAGAGCTTGGGACAGACTTTGGACTCAGGGGGTTACTTTCATTGTTTTAGTTCTTCCTTTCTGGAGTTTGTTTCTTCTTACTCGCCTTTTTTCTGGTGAATTAAAATTCAGATTTAGGCATGTGCGCTGCCACTGGGGTCTCGGTCAATTGACATTAGCTTGAATTTTCATTTGCAGTAGTTATGAATATGTTGCTATTTAAACTAAGAAAAGTATTGCAATTATGAAAATGATAAACTTTATAACTAAATGCAATGTTTAGTCGCAAGAACATTATTTGAATTGACTTATGGTCAAATCAGGATTAATATTTTCCATTCAGGTTACTAAATCCCTTATTGGCATTAAGTACAACAGTACCAGCTGCTTTTACTTAGCATTTATTTAATAGTCCTTTGGACATAACTTTTTATATTTCCCAAAGAACTAATTAAATTGACTTTTTCAGTAAATCGAAAGATGAATACCATATGTGAAAATTTGCACATTATAATTAATTACAAATGGTGACCTTTGTTTTGAACTCATTTTACCATGGCACAGGAAAAACATTTAATTTGAATGTCTAAGAGCTAAAAATACTATTTCTAGGACATGTAGAAAGTAAACTATTGAAAATCATGTGTTTTATATAGCTAATCCAGAATCTCAGATTCTAAGTAGAAAATATCTTTAAAATTGTAAATATGGGATGGTAATGGAACCAAAGAAGCCATTTATTAGTGTAATTTACAAGGAAACATTCTCATCCAGATAACATTTCTTCATTCAGCACACATGTACTGAACACAAACTACATGCCATGCCGTGGTCTTCTGTCTGTTAAATATCACTTTTCACATTTAGCACTGTTCTCTCAATAATATTTTTATTTCTTCACATTCCATATTTTTCCTTGAGATTATTATATGCATATAATAAAATTCAGCTATTAAAAGTATGAGACTAGAAATGGCCATAATTCTCTAGTGTCGAGTTTAAAACTTTCTTTAAAAATAATTTTTCAGCAAAGTTACTTAATTTCCAACCATTACTCGCACCTTCGCTGTAAGATTTCTGTTTCTTGGTAGAAAATAATGATAGCAAAACATTTATCACCATTTACTCTGTGCTAAGTAGTATTCTACATACTTGGCACACTTTAACTCATTTAATTCTTCACAACAAAACTGAAGTAGATAATATGTTACAGTAGAGCATAATGAGACACAGAAACATTAAATAATTTTCATAGGTTTATAGAACTACTAAGTGGCAGAACCAGGCCGGGCTGTCTTCAGGGTCTGTATTCTTAATCACCACACTTTGCTGAACACATAGCAGTAGTTTCCAATTCTGGCTGTGTACTGGAATCACCTGTGGCCCAATCTCAACCTAGGCCTAGGAATTAGAAGCTCTGAGGGTGGGATCCAGGTATCACTTTTTAAGGAAAGGGGTGACATTAACCACTGTACTATGTCTTTGGCTCCAGAAGTTTCATTTTCCTCATATTATTGTTGACAAAAAGATCTCTTTAACTTTCTAACCAGTGTAATGTTTTTTAATTCTTGAGTTCTTAGAATCTATCCAATATAATTTTTGAAACATCCATTATCTTGTACCTTTGAAATTGATTTATAGGGAATTCCTCAGATCTGAAATTGACCCATTTCTTTATTCATTCTCTCTTTTTCTGATTGCTTGTGGCTCAGCACTTTCTTGTGGCTCAACTAAAAAAAAAAAATTTTTTTTTTTTTTTAGAAGGGTCTCTAGTTCTGTCAGTTACTGAGGAAGGAGTATATACTGTTGCCATTCTGGCTTCTATGCTTACTATTTGCATGGTGTATCTTTTTTCAGCCTTTTAGACTGTCATGTCTTTGTATTTCAAATGTAAGTCTTGTAGATAAAGTTGGGTGTTACTTTTTAAATTCAGTTTGATAATCTTTGCCTTTGGATTTCAGTATTCAGTCCATGTAATATAATAACTGACATGGTTGGGTTTAGGTCTGCCATTTTCCTGTTTGTTTTCTGTTTGTCCCATCTCTGTTTTGCTCTTCTGTTCCTCCTCTCTGGGGGGAGAGGAGGCCTTTAGGGCTAAAAAAAAATACATTTTAGTATCTAATTTTAATTTCTTTATTGAATTTCCGTTAGTTTTTGCTTTGGTGATTACATTATGTATCCCTATCATAATCTGCTTGGAGTTAATAAAATGGAAAAATCCTGTAAGTATAGTTTCACTTATATTTGGTGTCACTCCTTAATAGTGCACATATACTGGCAACTAATTCTCATCTTTTTCTGAAAATGTCTATTTCATCTTCATTTTTGAAGGACTTTTGTTTTTTTTAATGAAATAGCCAAATTCTGCGTTCTTTTGCCACTTAAAAGATTTCATTGCCAGCCGTGTGCGGTGGCTCATGCCTGTAATCCCAGCACTTTGGGAGACTGAGGCAGGTGGGTCACCTGGGGTCAGGAGTTTGAGACCAGCCTGGCCAACATGGTGAAACCCCATCTCTACTAAAAATACAAAATTAGCTGGGTGTGGTGGTGCATGCCTGTAATCCTAGCTGCTCTGGAGGCTGATACAGGAGAATCGCTTAAAACATGGAAAGCAGAGGTTGCAGTGAGCTGAGATCGTGCCAGTGCACTCCAGCCTCAGCAAAAGAGGGAGACTCTGTCTCAAAAAAAAAACAGATTTCACTGTCATCTGGCTCTTTACGATAGCCATTATTTTTGCTGTTTCCTCTTTGTATTGTTTTTTTTCCTCTCTGCTTTCAGGATTTTATCTTAATCTTTGGTTTTCAGCAGTTGAATCTCATATACCTACCTGTGAATTTCCTTGCATTTATTCTGTTTGGAGGTTTGCTGACCTTGCATCTGTAAGTTTTATTTCTCCAAGTTTGCTGATTATCAACCCGAATTTCTTCATATTTTATTTTCTTTCCCATTTTTCCATTTTTTATCTGGGACTCCAGTGACATATATATTAGATTGTTTGTTTTCCCATAGATCACCGCAATGCCTTTCCAGTTGTCTTCACTTTTCTGTAAAGTGGACACAACACATTTTGTCATTTCTATTTTGATCTGTCTTCAACTTTACTGACCCTTTGTTTTCCCATCTCTGATCTGCTGTTAAGCCTATCCAGTGAAAATTTAATTTCTGATACTATATTTTTTAGGTCTAGAATTTCCATTGTATTTTTTGTTTTATAATTTCCACTTCTCTGTTGAGATTCCCCCTTCTATTCTCGCATGATGATGATCTTTTAATGTTTAATGGTTAAGAGTTTAAACATTTATTAAAATTTGTTTTAAAATGGTTTTTTGATAATCCTAACATCTGGGGCATCTTGAGGTTGGCTTCTACTGACCACTTTTTTTTTACCATGACTCACATTTTCCTGTTTTGTTAGAGTGGTAACTTTTGAATGTACAGTGGGGCATTGCGGATGATATGTTTAAAACTCTGGGTTCTGTTATCTTCTTCTGGAAAGTTCTGATTTTTGTTCTACCAGGTATTTAAATTACTAACAAATCATCTTGAGCTGTGGAGGTTTTGTTTTTCACTTTGTTAGGGAGAAGCTGTTTCAATTTTGTTCTTGATCCCAGGGCAACTTCCTTAGTTTAGGACGTAGGTTTTTCATCATAGGATGTGGACCTCTTCCAGTTTTAATTGAAAGCCCAAAATGTTTCCCAGGCCATGAAACTGGAATTCAGCTTCCAAACTTTGTTTCCCCTGCAATGGGCAGAAGCTGAAATCTCTGTTCAGCTCATTTAGCCTTGTAATGGCTGTTTTCCTTTGGGTTCCCACACATGGGATTTTCTTTCTCAATTTTCAGTTGTTCTGGAAGCAGATGGCTCTGTGTCTTGGTGACTCGGGCTAATAACATTGCAACATTCTGACTGAGTTCTGACCACCCTGCTCCCTCTTAATACCATGGATTGCCCCTCTGGGTAAAAGTTGTATAAATGTGGGTCTCTGTCTCTTTTTTCGCTCCCGCAAGGAGTGAATCCATTGCAAAGTTTTCCTACTTTTGGCTGTTCTTCAGTGTCTACTTTAAATAATTGAGTTTTGTTTTTGTTTTTTTGAGGCAGAGTCTCGCTCTGTCACCCAGGCTGGAGAGTGGTGGCATGATCTCGGCTCACTGCAACTTCTGTCTCCGGGGTTTAAGCGATTCTCCTATCTCAGCCTCCCAAGTAGCTGGAACTACAGGTGTATACCAACATGCCTGGATAACTTTTGTATTTTTAATAGAGACAGGGTTTCTCCATTTTGGCCAGGCTAGTCTTGAACTCCTGACCACAGGTGATCTGCCCACCTCTGCCTCCCAAAGTGCTGGGATTATAGGCATGAGCCACCATGCCCTAACAATAATTGATTTTTATATTTTGTTAGGTGTTTATCATAGTTGTATGCAGGAGAGTTAATCTAATACATGTTCCTTTGTCATTACTATACCTGGAATGCCAGTTCTTTATTTTTATAAAATTTACCTCAGTTGGTTAATATGTTTCTGATTATGATCTCAGTTCTATTTTATTTCTATTCTTAGATATGAAGAGAAGGCTACTAAAGACTTGGAACGATACAACAGTCAAATGAAGAGAGCCATTGAACAGGAGTCACAAATATCATTAAAAGATGGCAGAAGAAAGATAAAACTCACCAGCACATGGAATTTGGCCCAGAAGCACAAGTTGAAAACCTCATTATCTAATCAACCAAAACTTGATGAACTCTTTCAGTCCCAAATTGAAAAAAGAAGTCAAAATATTAAAATGGTAAAGATCCCCTTTTCTATGAAAAACTTAAAAATAAATTTTGAGAAACAAAACCAAGTTGACTTAGAAGAGAAGGATGAACCTTGCTTGATCCACAGTCTCAGGTTTCCTGATGCATGGCTAATGACATCCAAAACAGAGGTAATGTTATTAAATCCATATAGAGTAGAAGAAGCTCTGCTATTTAAAAGACTTCTTGAGAATCATAAACTTCCTGCGGAGCCACTGGAAAAGCCAATTACGTTAACAGAGAGGTATGATGATATAATATTTTTTAACTGTAAAAATACTTGTTATAATAGTTCATACTAGATTAGAAATTGAAGGTAGAAGGTTGAGAATGTTTCCTAGTAAGGATTAGTGGTTTTTGTTTGTTTTTTTTTTTTAATCTTTTAAAAATTTGACTTCTAGGCCAGGCACTGTGGCCCACACCTGTAATCCCAGTACCTTGGGAGGCTGAGGCAGGTGGATCACGAGGCCAGGAGTTTGAGACCAGCCTGGCCAACATAGAGAAACCCTGTGTCTACTAAAAATACAAAAATTAGCTGGGTGTGGTGGCACACACCTGTAGTCCCAGCTACTTAGGAGGCTGAGGCAGGAGAATCACTTGAACCTGGGAGGCAGAAACTGCAGTTAGCCAAGACGGCACTTTGCTCTCCAGCCTGGGTGAAAGAGCGAGACTGTCTCAAAGAAAAAAATTTGATTTCTTATCCTTAATGGAATTGTTTATAAATAATATCAGAATACATAGTTCACTTCTACATTTAATAAATACGAAGTTGATTTCTCTTGTACATTAGTAACTTCTCTGGGGCAATTTTGAAGTTAAGATTGTCATGACTTTATTCCATTATGTACTTATTGTTTTAACAATTTCAAACACATAATGAAATAGAAGTATACAATGAATATCTTTATCAGTAATTATCAAGACTTTGCCACGTTTGCTTTGCCTTTCTAGGTAGTATATACACATAAATTTTCTTTCCTTTGCCAAAGAAGTTTAGAACAATTCCCCTTCCTACATCCTTCATTACTTCTCTCTCAAAATATGGCTGTTTTCTCACCTAACCACAATACCTTTTTCATACCTTACATAATAATAACTCCTTGGAATTGTTCCTCATTATGTCAAAATGCCTTTTTTTACGGTCTTTAAAAAATTTTATTTTTAATTTGTGTCTAAACAAGATCCATGTATTACATTTGGTTATCTTGTTTACTTGTCTTAAAAATCATTTTATTATTGTACATACTGAGTCATTTGTTCAGTGGAATGTCCTATTGTCTCTGTTTGCTTTCTTAGGGTATTCAGCTTCTTTTTCTCTCCCCCATGTTTAATTGAGATTTAGCTCAGGAGGACTGAATACATTTAGATTCTACTTCCTGGTGCATCTACTTAATGGATTGGCTGTGTGCTTTATACTTCATCACATCAAAAGGCACTGTCACTAGCTTCAGCTAATGACAGCCTGTCTTTCACATGAAAGTTTCTAATCAACCTTTCCATGTAGCGGTGCCATTCATTGATGATTTTTGCCTGAAATAATTTTTTTATTGGTTGTAATATAGGGTACTTTCTTTTCCTATTCTATATGAGCAAATTGCTTTCTGTAAAAATAAATAACCTTGGATGACAAAGCCTGAGGAGACAAAAATAAATTTAAAGATTAAAAAATAATGACTAACTTATTAACATTTCTCTTTTTTAACTTAATATTTCGTTTTTAGTCGAACACAGGTAGAAGAGAATCATGACAAAAATAATAAAAACCTGAAATTTAAAAAGATAAGAATTTGTTCACTAGGACACATCATTAGATAACTGTTTCAGAACTTACAAAAATAAAGCAGAAATCATTTATAAAATGTGTTAAAAGTCTTGTTAAAGATACTGCAGTCTTGGAAGAGAAAAAAATAAGGACAGAACACAGAAAAACATCTGTTAAGTCTGTCTTTTTAAATAAGGCAACAGCAACCATATTAACCAAAATCCAGTATCTTTCATTGTGTTCTCTTGAGAGTGGCTTAGGAAACTGTGGCTTAGGAAACTGTTGGAGGAAGGATTAGAAAATAGTTCCTTAGGCTACATTCAAACAGTTTAAACACCTGGTGGTGCTTTTTGCTTTCTTCTCTAAAAAAGAGCTAGGGTACATCTGAATTTTTAGACTTGACTGCTTTTCTGAATGGCATTTATAAACTTCATTTACATTTCAAAAATCTTTTTGTGATTTTTAAATTAGAGGTTTTAAAAATATTTTTATATGTGATATTCTGTTATTCAAAAAACAAATACATTAAAAACTATTATTTTGGGACCATATTGGCCTGAAAATAAATCTTTCTTAATTGAGCCTAAATAGCAATAAAGCTTAATTCAAAATATATATATTTTTTCTTCTTCTTTTGGAGTGTGGCATCCCCATCACAGTTAATGCTGTAAGTTTTTCAGAACAGAGTCATGGGCTAATTTATTCCCACAATGTTGCAATATGGACAGGGTAATTATAGGTTGGGCCCAGTTTTCTTGCCAGAGTTCTAATGCTGTTTGTGTAACTCACTTCTGGATGGAATAATTTTGGTAACTATAAAACATAAAGTAAGTATTCAGTAATTACAATGATGGCTAATATTTATTGAACATTTGCTATATGATAAGAACTTGGCAAAGTTTAATTGTGGAGCCTGCACCATTAATTGCTATACAGTATCATAATCATTACCACAACCACCATCCCTACTGTCTCTCAGATAGATTTTTAGGATATTAGTTAGATGAAACAGAGTACATGTAAAATACAGCCAAAGCTCTCTTCTCTGTAATATCAGCTGTCACAGCCAGTGACTGTAATACATCCTGACCAAGCCTAAAACCAATATGGAAGGTTAATTTGTACCCTAGATAATCTTTGGCTTCCTCAGAATTCTTCACCACTCAGAATCATTTCATGTGCCACCTTTGGCAAACATGCCATACCTACAGTAGACTGAAAGAAGCTCTCCCAACCTCTAAATTGATTAATATATAAGTTCCTAGAAGAAAGAGATACATGTTTATCTTTTTGTTACAGAAGAAACTTGGCATAGCAATTGAAAATTTGGCAGAATGGACCACCTAACTTGACTATTATTGTGCCTGTTTTGAAGGGATAAAATGGAATTATTTTTAAATTTTTCATTTGTATTATATTTAGAGAGAGCCATTTTTAAAATTTCACATTGATTTGTAACATTCTAGAAAACAGATTGTCTTCTTCCTGTTCCTCCTTTCTGTATACTGTGTGCAGTAGATATCAACAGAAATGTAAAAAAGTGGTTTCTCATAGGGCTACTTATATATCTTTGTATTTTGGTTAATGATAACACTTGTCAAAAGGCCCTTGGATTAACTTTTTCCCATTAACCCTCTATTTTGTGTATTTAATAAGTTAAAGAGCCATAATTTCTTTTGCAGTCTTTTTAATGGATCTCATTATTTAGACGTTTTATATAAAATGACAGCAGATGACCAGAGATTCAGTGGATCAACTTACCTGTCCGATCCTCGTCTTACAGCAAATGGTTTCAAGATAAAATTGATACCAGGTATGATAGTATGGTTTAATATTTTCTGATATGGAAAAAATAGCCTTGTTCCAAGAGTTAGTTTGGGTTTCATGATCTACAGATATGATGGTATATTTTTTTCTCACTGTAAGTACAGTGTTGTCTGTGTTAAAACATTTATTTCAAAAACATCACCTCTGCCTGGAACAAACGAGTTTGGCATCTCTTTCAGTCTAGTGCTTTGCATTTGCATTTTCATAATGAACGAAGTAGTTTTATTGTAATTTTTGTCATTCTTTGACACAATAGTCAAACTGCCTGCTTTGTTTAAATTATTAAAATACTCTTTTAGATGATGACACAGAATTATGTAGGGTACTGGAATGGCCTCACAGAAATGGCCATCTCTTCTTTTTAAAAAGCATTTGCTTGTTTTGCCAGTTAGACATGTAACATCAGCAGTCGTGCTGTATGAGAATGGCTGATTTGATACAAAAGACTCATAATTCTCTTTGCTCAGTATGGAAATTCATTGGGGGGATTTTTAAAAAAAGGAAAACCCGTCTGGCTAGAGACTTCAGTTTTCCTGGCTGGCCCCTCTCAGCTCTTTTGTACTTTTCATAATCAACTGCCTTCTGCCTTACCTTCTGTTGCTTTCTCTTCATCTGGTATCAAAGGGTTACAGTGAAACCATGAGGAAGGTCTCCACTGTCTTCCTTCTGCCTCTAATCTTGTCATGCCCAAAGTATAGAAAAACAGAGTTCAACCAAAACAATGTTTGAAGATTTTTAAAGGAATGTTTTACTGAGATATGAAAATAAGTTAAAAGAATATACCAAAACCATGGAGCTGGGTATATAAAGAAAATACTTTGGTGTCCCAAACATAAACTAATTTTACTTGATTTTTGTGGTTTTAAGGATACCTAACCTAAACTTCTTACCTGTCACCTCAATTCTATTAGTCCAAATCCCAGCACTACCATTTAAAAACAATGTGTTTTGGGGCAAGTCAGCTGGCCACACTGTTTTTATTGATAACAACTAATAATTACTGAATTATTATGTACAGGGCTCTATTCTAAGTATTAAATGCATTAATTTAATCTCCCTAATATCCCTGTAAAGTAGGTTCTATTACTGTCCCCATTTTACAGATGGAAAAATTGAGGCACAAGGAGTTAAGTTTGCTCAAAGGGACACTATTGGTAGAACCAGGATTTGAACCTAGGCAATCTGCCTTTAGAGCCTAGCTGTTAACTCATTTATTATATTGCCTTCCTGTCAAAATTTAGCCATTTACTCCATGAAGTATTTGTGAGCATTAACCAAGGTAACAGTTAAATCAGTGAGCATGGTACTTGGCAATGGGAGATGCCCACATAGTCTCTTTTCTTACCATCCTTCACCCCCCTTTAGCAGGCTTGCAGTCATTTCTTTTAGTCTGCCTAGAAATATTTCTTCCTCAGGGTCCCTGGCATCTTAAAATTTATGTGAAGTGAATTTACTTGAAGCAAGGGATAGGTGGGTGTGTTTGTTTTATTGACTTAATCTGTTTTTCTAATTAACTATATGGCGTTGTTGGCAAGTACCAGTTTTTTCATGAAAGATATTAAACAGGCTGGGCATGGTGGCTCACGCCTGTAATCCTAGCACTTGGGAGGCTGAAGTGGATGGATCACCTGAGGTCAGGGGTTCAAGACTAGCCTGGGCAATGTGGTGAAACCCTGTCTCTACTAAAAAATACAAAAATCAGCCAGACGTGATGGCGAGCACCTATGATCCCAGCTACCCAGGAGGCTGAGGCAGGAGAATCGCTTGAACCCAAGAGGCGGAGGTCACAGTGAGCCAAGGTCATGCCACTGCATGCCAGCCTGGGCAACAGTAAGACTCTGTCAAAAAAAAAATATATATATATATATGTGAAACAGCAGGCGGTGGTTGTTGTTTTAAGGATAACTGTTCTTTCTTACCTCCCACTCAATTCCAAAAGCATATTTATTTTTGAGCTACCCGGTAAGTTTATATCTGACAGATGCTTTCAGCTCTTAGCTTTTAGATAGTATTTTTAAAATCTTATTAAATGCCTGATACTTTCAATAGTATCAAAGATGCAAAAATGATTAAGTCATCTGCAAACTGACTTTGATTAGATGATCATCAGCATTATTTCCCTTGTCAATAACAGAGCAAGTTAAAGACACTTATGTTTTCTTTCTTCATTTCTTTGTTTTTTCATTTTTAAAAAATAAGTTGTATTTTCTTAACAATTCTATCTTGTGAGAGTATTGTTGTATTACAGTAACTTTGAGTCAACAGTTTGCCTGTAGTCACAATATATTTTTGGATAAGAATAAAAGCATTTGAAAGAGAAGGAATACATCTGGCCTTGAGAGAGAAGATTCTCAGTGTGACCCTAAGAACTTTACATGCTAATGGGAATAGCTTTCTGTCTTGCATAAATAAGAATTCCATATTTTAGGAAGTGAAAACTTGTCAAACCACTTACTCATTTGATATATTTTCCCTGAAAATTGGTAGGCATTTCACAGTATTTTATGGAAACTTTTCAAAGGTTATTGTTACATAGTTCCAAATGTCTCTAACTTTTCCATATCTGAATTTTGCAAACACAGAAGTAAAAATATTGCTCAATTTCCTTGTTTGTTGTCAGATACTTCTTACCCGTTTCCACTAGTAATTCTGTGAAATGTGTGTAATTTTCCAGAGCAAATGTAGTTAGTATTAGACTTTTCATTCTAATCATACTGTAAAAAATATAGGACTACCAATAGTGAAAAGTCACTGAGACTGATATTTTTGGAAATTTTCATATCTATAGGTAAAAGAGATGTGAACTAGAATATTCTACTACTACTTCTTTACCTATCCACGCAAAGTTTTGAGTTCCATTTACATTCCCCCTGTTGCTCAAACTCACTTTGTTTCCACTGTTAGTCCGTTTGTGTTGCTGTAAAGGAATACCTTAGACTGTGTAAGACTCAGGTAGACCTGAGACTAAAAGAAATGACCGCAAGCAGCCTGCTTTATAAAGAAAAAATGTTTATTTGGCTCATGGTTCTGCAAGCTGTACACGAAGCATAGTGCCAGCATCTGCTTTCCTTTTACATGTAAGTTCCAAGTTTAAGTCATTTCTTTGCTCCCATATCTGATGGTAACCATGCCACTTCTTGAACAATTTGCTGCTTAGAAATTTCTTTCACTAGATAGCGAAATGAAATAGTGATGGCCTAGGTCATCACTCTTAAGTTCAAACTTCCACAGATCCTAAGGGCAGAGGTATCCAATCTTTTGGCTTCCCTGGGCCACACTGGAAGAATTGTCTTGGGCCACATATAAAATACACTAACACTAACAGTAGCTCATGAGCTGTAAAAAAATTACAAAAAACTCTCATAATGTTTTAAGAAAATTTACAAATTTGTGTTGGGCCACATTCAAAGCCGTTCTGGGCCATATGTGACCCATGGGCCACAGATTGAACAAGCTTGCCCTAGGGCATGGATACAGTGTAGCCAAAATCCTTTCGAGGACGTAAAAATGGTGACATTTACTCCAGTGCCCAATAAATTCCTAAATATCATCTGAGACTTTATCAGCCTTTTCATTGTCCATATTTCTATCAGCATTTTAGTCACAACCATTTAACCAGTTTTTAGAAGTTCCAAACTTACCCTTATCTTCCTGTCATCTTCTGAGCTCTCAAACTCTTCCAGCCTGTGCTCTTACCCAGCCCCAAAACTACTTCTACATCTTCAGTTATCTTTATAGCAATGCCCCACTCCTCAGTACTAATTTTCTGTGTTAGGTCGTTTGTGTTGCTATAAAAGAATACCTGAGACTAGGTAATATATAAAGAAATGAGATTTATTTGACTTGTGGTCCTGCAAGCTGTACGTGAAGCATAGTGCTAGCATCTGCTTCTGGTAAGGGTCTCAGGAAGCTTACATTCATGGCAGAAGGAGACGAAGAGCCAGCATGTCACATGGTGAAAGAGGGAGCAAGAGAGAGATACCAGGCTCTTTTAAACAACCACCTCTTGTGTGAACTACCACAGAGACCTCACTCATTACAATGGGGATGGCACCAAGCCATTCATGGCGGATCTGCCCCTATGACCCAAGCACTTCCCACTAGGCGCACTTTTAACTGTAGAGGTCACATTTCGACATGAGATTTGAAAAAGACACACATCTAAACCATATCATCTTCCTTCATTGAACTCTGTATCTTATCCTGTAATGCTTGATAATAGATTATTATATATTATTCTCCAGTAGTTCTCTGGGAAAAATGTTAGGATACCGTCCGTCTCTGTAGTCTGCCACCATTGCACCTGCCATCCAGGTCAAGGATCTAGTCTGAAATTGGGAACAGGCAAGGGATTGGGTTATTGAAGTCTCAGGATTTGTAACTCAAGTTATATCACATGTCTTTTTTAAAATTAATCCTTGATAGCTACTACTTATCCAAGATTGGACTGTCCCTTTTCCTTTAATTCCAGGAAGCATTATGTAGACTTCATGAAAGAACACTGTTACACAGATACAGCCAAAGAAGACAAATCTTTGCTATTTTCAAAAAACCTGCATTCTAAAGCCAAATCTGATGCTTTGAAATATGTGCTGTTATGAATATGTACCCCGTTTTACATCCAGTCCTGTAGCTAGTTTTTAGTCTTATTTTTTGAGACAGAATCTTGCTCTGTCACCCAGGCTGGAGTGCAGTGGCACAATCTCAGCTCACTGCAACCTCTGCCTTCTGAATTAAGTGATCCTCCCACCTCAGCCCCCCAAGTACTGGGACTACAGGAACGTACCACCACACCCAGCTAATTTTTTTTTGTATTTTTGGTAGAGACGGGGTCTCACCATGTTGGCCAGGCTGGTCTCGAACTCCTGATGTGACTCACCTGCCTTGGCCTCCCAAAGTGGTGGGATTGCAGGTGTGAGCTACTGTGCCCAGTCATTTAGTTTTATTTTAATCACTAAGAGTAATTTAAGTAACAGTTAACATGTCAGTTTTATACATTGTCCTGGTAAAATATTTTGAACAACATTAGTATTTTCTTCTAATTAGTAATATGTTAATAAGTTACCGTGTGACTTTTTATAATTTGTAAGTTAAAATCACAGAAATAATTCAGGCCTTTAGATATTAAAATGGTACAGTAGAATTTGAAGAGCAGCAGTTGTTAAAACACTTAAACTGGTTTTATTTTAATAAATATCATGGGACTCCATTTTCTCTCCAAACCAAGAAATGATCTAAACAAATGTAAGGAACAAAACAGCAATAACTGAGATTAAATTAAATTATATAAAGCACATGTGGTGTCAGTGAGCACTTATGACTCAATTGAAATCCTATGGGAAATTACTATTTGTTCTCCAACTAAGGAACAAAACTTTGTCCTGACTATATTAAAATCTAATGAGGTTTCACTAAATTGTTTTAACAGCAATTTTTGTTTTTAATGGACATGTTCTGGAATATAAACTTAACTATGTGGGTTTTTTTCTTTCAGGAGTTTCAATTACTGAAAATTACATGGAAATAGAAGGAATGGCTAACTGTCTCCCATTCTATGGAGTAGCAGATTTAAAAGAAATTCTTGATGCTATCTTAAACAAAAATGCAAAGGAAGTTTATGAATGTAGACCTCGCAAAGTGCTAAGTTATTTAGAGGTATGCATTATTTTATACATATGTTATCATATACAGGGATCCCAACTCCTGGCCATGCCTGTTAGGAACCAGGCAACATAGCAGTAGGTGAGTGACCTGCCAGTGGGCATCACCACCTGAGCTCCGCCTCCTGTCAGATCAGTGCAACACTAGATTCTATAGGAGCACAAACCCAATTGTGAAGTGTGCATGTGAGGGATCTAGGTTGTGCACATCTTGTGAAACAGTTTCCTGAAACCATCCCCACTTGCCATCTGTGGAAAAACTGTCTTCCACGAAACTGGTCCCTGGTGCCAAAAGCTTGGTATTATAGATTGGCCAGACTTTAAGATACTTATTTCTTAAAATAGTAAATTATTTCCAAATAGTAAAATATTTTCTGTAAGTTTTATTACGTATTTGCAAGAAGAACACTATTAAAAAAACACTTCATTAAAAGTTTTCCATCGTAGACTGACTGTGGTAAACTCTATCATGAATTCTTACCATAACATTTATTGGGTACATGAAGAAAAACCTTACGAATGAGATGTTTTGCAGTGAAGTTCTTTTTTAAAAAATTTTTTATGAATAATCCCCTTAGAAGGGATTCAAAATAATTCTGCCTTTATAGCATATAGTTATCTAAAAAGTATTGTAATATAATTCTAAGTCCTGATTTCATCAAGAGCAATAGAAGGGAAGGAAAGTGAAAGATCTGAATTGTTGAATAAGTGGAAATTTTCATTTTTGTGACAGTATTCATCATAAATGAGAAATGTAGCAGTGGGTTAAAAAAATAAAAGGATTAAGGAAGGTTATAAACTTTAAAATGTCTAAGATAGTAGCAGGAAGACAATAGTGTTTACATCTATATCTATATCTTGTAGATATCCCTCAAGATTGACTGGTATCATTTAAAATACAAATCTGAATTCTAATGAAGTTTTTCTCCCTTTTTAAAAATGAGCCATTTTTGTTTACAGTTGATAGTGTGCCTGCTGTATTCTGAAGGTCAGACTTCCTTAACAGGAAAGTCTGCTTGTTACCCCTTCTGAAGTATGTATTCAGTAATGTTCTGTAAATCCTTTAGGAGCTTTGTCCCATGGGAATTCCCAGCCTTTTGTGGGGGTAGCTTAACATTGATAGTTTCTAGAGACTTCAAGGGAATATACTCTTGTGAAACAGTTAGTATGAACTTAAAGATTGAGGGAGTCGTGGGAAGTGTTTTGTGTACTGAAGAACCCTGTGAGGAGAAATAAGATTTCAGAAATAACAGAAAAAAGGTAATTGGGACTGGTTTTAAATATTTGTTTGCTAATACTTTACCTTTCAGTATATTAAGGCAGTAGTGGTATGAGTGTTAAGAAAAATGGCCTGGAAAAAAAGGAAAGAACTTAAACCACAGGGATGCTTCTATTTAAGGTCAGTAAGATGAATCGGAGAGAAAGATAGGAAAGTGAAAGGAGAACCAAGAGAGGGGTGGATATAAAAGGCAAGGAAGGAACAAATTTTAAACATAAGCCGTATCACGTTCTGTATAGAAGACCATCAGATACAGCTGCTAGATGGAAGTGATAACATTGAAGAGAACCACAATGGCAAAGTACAGTTGTCCTTCTGTATACTCGGGATTGGTTCCAGCACCACCTGTGGATACTAAAATCCAAGCATACTCAAGTCCTGCAGTCAGCCCTGCAGAACCCACATAAACGAGAAGTTGGTCCTCCGTCTGTGTGGATTTTGCATCCCATGATACTGTATTTTCTATCACAGTTAGGGTTGAAAAAAAAAATCCATGTAGAAGTGGACCCGCACAATTAAAACCAGTGTTGTTCAAGGGTCTGCTGTAGTAGGAATAGAAGACATTTGCCAGTGGTTAAAGAGTGGAGCAGTAGTGGGAAGGTAGGCAGCAAGTCACATGATAGTGAAAGGAAGGAAAGAGTATGTTTGGCGTGTTTGGATTGAATTGGTGTAAGACTGACAATAAAAAGTTGCAGAGGAGGCCAGGTGCAGTGGCTTATGCCTGTAATCCCAGCACTTTGAGACGCTGAGGTGGGCAAATCACCTGAGATGAGTCGTTTGAGACTAGCCTAGTCAAATGGTGAAACCCCCTCTCAGCCAAAAATTAGCCAGGTGTGTGGTGCGCACCTGTAATCCCAGCTACTCAGGAGGCCAAGTGAGGTAGGAGAATTGCTTGAACCCAGGACGTGGAAATTGCAGTGAGCTGGGGGCACACACACTGCAACAGCAGCCTGGGCAATAGAGAGAGACTGTGTCTCAAAAAAAAAAAAAAAAAAAATTGCAGACGAAATGTTTCCAAAAAGGCCTCAAGAGAGAAGATAGGATATGAATGTAAGGTTTAGAAAGTAGAATCTCTCTGAATCAAGAACAGAAAAGGGGAAAAATGAAAATATTTATATGTAAACTTAAAATTTCTTAATCATTAGAACCTGTGAAATTTTAGGTGAACTTGAGAGACGTCATGTTGATATATGTGATAAAAGAGTAGAAGTTACCTGCTGAGAGTGGAGGGGTTGTGGGAAGGCATTTGTAATTTTAGTACAGTAACAAAGATCTGAAAATAAGAGCTGTAGGTTACTTAGAGAGGAATAAGATTTCCAGGTGTCATTGAGGGCTCATAAAAGTTAACATTTGTGTTGGGTCCAGCCAGAACAGTTTTGTGACTCAACCATGCTCAGAATTTGTCCAAGGGTAGAGATTAGCAAGTTAGATATGGTAGAAGAACAAGAGGTAAATGAGTGAAGGAAACCTGAACACATTATATATAAGACCTAGGGCGTTAGACCCTAGAGGGATATAAAGATAAATTAGATTCTAGTAAAAATGTAAAGAGAATGCAGGTTGCTAAAGCTAGCATCCTTAATGTCTTACTATTCCTACCTTTAAGGAAAGATGACACAAGGGTGCTAGTAGGTCAGGAGAATAAGGAGGGATTGGAAAGATTAAAGGTCAAAGTGAAGAAAAACATGTTTAGTTGAAATAAAGGAATAGGATGGTTGGAAAGAAGGAGGGGTGAGTTGTTAAAGAGAATGTTAGGACTCAAGATCTTTGAAGTACAGCAGTTTTAAAAAATAAATCTTAAGCCAGCTTTGCTAACACTATCTTATCCCCAGACCCTCAGTTCTCCTTACCTCAGAAAACAGCATCACAATACCAGAAATATGGACATGATCCTTGATTCTGCATCCCTCATAACCAATCCATCAGGGAGTCTTCACTCTACATTCAGCTCATGCCAGGAATCTTTATACCCCCGTCCCTCTCAGCTTCCATGACCCTAGTCAAAATCTTTCATCAGGACAGCAGTGGTTGCCTGCAAGACTCCTTGCTGCTTTTCTTAACCTGCCTACCTCAAACCACCTGCCTCAACCCATAGCAGTCAGAGTGATTGTTTTAAAATGTGAAACAAATTTCAGGTTTTTGCTTGGAAAAAAAAAAAAAAAAAGCTGGGCATGGTGGCATATACCTGTAGTCCCAGCTACATAGGAGGTTGAGGCAGGAGGATCACTTGATCCTGATCAAGCTCACTGCAGTGAGCTGTTACTTGCCTATTCATTCAGACCAAAACACCAGTTTCTTACCCTGTCCTAAAGAGTGATCTAGCCTCTGCCTAATTTCCTTTTCTTGTTTTTCTCTTTTCACCACTATGTTTTACCCACACTGAACATTTGGTTCTTTCTGTTCTGTCTGCCTGTTATGCTTTTCTTTCCCCATGACCTTTGCACCGATGTTTCTTATTTATTTATTTTGAGAAAAGGTCTTGCTCAAAAGCTAGAATGCAGTAGCATGATCACAGCTCACTACAGTCTTGACCTTCAGGCTCAAGTGATCCTCCTGCCTCAACCTCCATGTAGCTGGGACTAAAGGCATATGCCACCATGCCCAGCTTTATTTTATTTATTTATTTATTTATTTTTTCATACAGACTGGGTCTCACGGTGTTGCCCAGACTAGTCTCAAACTCCTGATCTCAAGCAATTCTCCAGCCTTCATTTCCCTAAGTGTTGAGATTACAGGCCTGAGTCACCCCACACCCAGCCTGGTTCCATATTTAAATTCAAGCTTAAAGCCATCTCCTCAAGTAATCTTTTTCCAACTCTACAATCACTCTATCATGTGGCCCAGTTTAATTTTGTGCATTATTTATTGACTAAAATGTTCTGTCTTTTGTCTGTTTTCTGTTTCTCTGCACTTGAATATAAATTTCACAAGAGCAGGGGTCTAGTTTTTCGGCTCACCACTACATCCTCAGAGCTGACAACATAGTGGATGCTTAACAAATTGTTGTGTGAATTCATAATAAGATGAAAATAATCAATATTTTGTCTTCCTTCTTGCCAGGATAATATGTTTTCTGCTTCAGGGTATATCATGGTAAAATGTGCGACTTTCCTTTTGGACAGGGAGAAGCAGTGCGTCTATCCAGACAATTACCCATGTACTTATCAAAAGAGGACATCCAAGACATTATCTACAGAATGAAGCACCAGTTTGGAAATGAAATTAAAGGATGTGTTCATGGTCGTCCATTTTTTCATCATTTAACCTATCTTCCAGAAACTACATGATTAAATATGTTTAAGAAGATTAGTTACCACTGAAATTGGTTCTGTCGTAAAACAGTATGAGTCCGGTTTTAAATTATCTTTGTATTTTGCGCTATATGGTTATTTTTTAAATGAGAATTCACTGACTTGTTTGTATATTGAAAAAAGTTCCAAGTATTGTGGAAAGGATAAATAAACTATTATAAACTATTCATTTTATTCTCAAGAACCAGCCATCATAATAATTACAAGTTATAGTCTTAGAATTGGAAAATAGGTAGTATTCCTGGGTGGTTGATTTACTAGGTCAGCTCTGTGCAGGGAGAAATCGGCATCACACATACTAGCGTATCTGATAAACAGTGTCAATATTTCTTAAACTACGATAGAGAGACAGAGTGGGAGAAAATGAAAAAATGAAGTTCAGAGGAAGGAGAAAAAAACAAATCTTTCCATTAACTTCCATTTAGGGAGTAACAGATTAGATGTTGCTGTCTCTGTTATTTGGTAATTATTGGATTTTGGGGTCAACATTTGTCAGAGAACATTGGAAGAACTAGATTTTTAACAGAAAATTTAGGTGATTTTTTGTTTGTTTTTTGTTTTTTGAGACAGAGTCTTGCTTCTGTCACCCAGCCTGGAGTGCGGTGACACGATCTTGGCTCACTGCAACCTCCACCTCCCAGCGATTCTCCTGCCTCATCCTCCCAAGTAACCGGGATTACAACCACCCACCACCATGCCTGGCTAATTTTTGTATTTTTAGTAGAGATGAGATTTCACCATGTTGGTCAGGCTGGTCTCACTCCTGACCTTAGGTGATCCCCCCACCTCGGCCTCCCAAAGTGCTGGGATTACAGGTATGAGCCACCATGCCGGGCCATTAGGTGAAAATTATTTATTGTACATATGCCCCTTCCAAAAACCAGGTCCCACAGTGCACCAAAATACCTTTACAAAAAGTTGAAACATGATTTTTAATGAGTATATTTGTTGTGCAAAGTAAGGTATGTTATACTGGATAAGATGCCTCCACACACACACCATCTCCCATAATTCTCAAAGATCATCTTTAAATTCCTAAGATCCTCCTTGTGTTAAGAAGCACAAATTGTGAAACCTGGATTCTGCCTTTTCTTCTGGCAACATCATCCTGTTTTGCATGACCCAAAATCCTGCTTCCCCCAACTCTCCATTATCCCTTTTGTAAATGTGGAGAGCTTACTAGGAGTAATCATTTTAAATTAACTGGGTAAACTGAGGGAAAAGAGGCTATCAAAAGATGAAATTTGCATCATACATTTGCACTTGCCCTAAGTAAAACGACTCATTTTTTAGCCAATATAGTCTGTATTGATCCTACAACTATCTTGTAGATGAAGAAACTCATTTTTTCCTACCAGTTTTGAATTGTGCCAAAGCAGGTTGGTAGGAATGGCAGTAGGTATTTACCACCTATTTGCTAGATAGGTTAAGCACTTACCTTGGATGATCCCATTTAATGTTCACAATGAATTTAAAATTGTAGGTACTGTTGAGATTCTAATCCCAGAGCTCCTGTTCTTAACCACCGTTATACTGCCTGCCATGAGAAATGGGCCCTAAAGAGTTATTTGGGTCAACAAAGTATGGGTAGCTGGGGACTATTAAACACTTCCTGACACCACTTTAACGAATGCTGGAGCAAATCAACCTTGGGGTGCAACTTTTTTTTTTTTTTTTTTTTTTTTTTTTTTTGGTGACAGTCTCGCTTTGTCACCCATGCTAGAGTGCGGTGGGGCGATCTCGGCTCACTGCAACCTCAGCCTCCCGGCTTCAAGCGATTCTCCTGCATCAGCCTCCCGAGTAACTGGGATTACAGAAGTCCGCCACCACGTTCAGCTAATTTTTGTCTTTTTAGTAGAGATGGAGTTTCACCATGCTGGAGAGGCTGGTCTGGAACTCATGACCTCAAGAGATTCGCCCTTCTCAGCCTCCCAAAATGCTGTGATTACAGGCGCCAGGAACCGCGCCTGGCCACGTTTTTCTAACTGTGACGAGTAGCAGCTGGTCGTGAATCAGCTGCTTTTTCCAGAACAGGAATGGGCTTCAGGTGAGGGTCTAGCGTCGCCCCACGGACCAATCTTGGTTCACGAGGCCGAGGGCAGCCCAGCAACCACGCGGAAGCCGGGCAATCACCCGCAGCCCTCCCATCCACCCTCCACAGGTCTTTGCAGCAGCCCCAGCACCACCCGCGGGACGAAAAGGGCTGGAGCTGGGGGAGGCCACGGTGAATCGCTGGCTCCCAGGAAGGAGGTAAGGGCCGCTGCGGGCTGGGAGGCTTACCCGGAATTAAGGGCGAGGCGAGGAGATCCGAAGGAAAGGGAAAGCCTCACTCCAACTTACCCATTTGTCTCTTTAGTCTGGGTTGCTAGAGCCCTTGGGCTGGGAGAAGGAGTCTTAAGATGTGAGTTCCAAAGTGCTCTTTAGACCCAATTGTGTTGATTAGGATCCCAGCCTTAGCTATAGCCACAGGGCTGACCCAAAGCCATATGGAAGTGAGGCTTTCAGGACCCTCTTGGATGGACTTTTTTTTTTTTTTGCTTGCCTGCAGAACTGATTTTGATAGTGTTCTCTTTTTTTCCTTTTTAAAATTTTATTGTTATTATTATACTTTAAGTTCTGGGGTACATATGCAGAACGTGCAGGTTTGTTACATAGGTATAAACGAGCCATGGTGGTTCGCTGCATCCATCACCCCGTCATCTACATTAGGTATTTCTCCTAATGCTATCCCTCTCCTAGCGCCCCACCCCCTGCTATCCCTCCCCTAGCCACCATCCCTGAGGCCCTGGTGTCTGATGTTCACCTCCCTGTGCCCATGTGTTCTCCTTGTTCAACACCCACTTATGAGTGAGAACATGTGGTGTTTGGTTTTCTGCTCTTGTGTCAGTTTGCTGAAAATAATGGTTTCCAGCTTCATCCATGTTGCTGCAAGGGACATGAACTCATTTTTTATGGCTGCATAGTATTCCACGTTTTCTTTATCCAGTCTGTCATTGATGGGCATTTGGGTTGGTTCCAAGTGTCGCTATTGTGAACAGTGCCGCTATGAACATATGTGTGCATGTGTCTTTATAAGAGAATGATTTACAATCCTCTGGGTATATACCCAGTAATGGGATTGCTGGGTCAAATAATATTTCTGTTTCTGGATCCTTGAGGAATCACCACACTGTCTTCCACAATGGTTGAACTAGTATACACTCCCACCAAGAGTGTAAAAGCATTCCTATTTCTCCACATTGGATGGACATTTTGCTGGGAAGGTAGCCATCTATGGTCCTAGCCAGGCCTAGGAGGTTTTAGATATTTAACATACTGAAAAATATTAGGCCTGTATTCAGATGAATGGATTTTTGTTACTTTCATTGGCTACGGGATTCTTTGTGATTTTATCCAGATTTTGTGGCTCAAGTTGGAGGAATTGCAACCCAACCCAGCACAGCCCATATTTCTCAACTAAAAATGTAAATAGGAGCTATTTTTCCCTCTCCAAATTATTACCTGTTTTATTTTCATCTTACGTTTGTCCTACAGCCTTTTTTTTGGGGGGGGGTGGGCAGGAGGGAGCAGGAGTCACTAAATAAACTTGGGCTTGGGTCTACACTGAAAATCAAAAATAGATTTAATTCTTGTAAACCAAAATCATCTGAGGTAGGTCTCAATAAATTTAGAAGTTTGTTTTGTCAAAATTAAGGACATATCCAGGAGACAGGTCTGTGTGCTTTTCTCCAAAGATATTTTGAGGGCTTCAATATTTAATGGGGAAAGAGAGGAGGTTATGATCACATTGCTAAATCCACATGTTGCAGGAGAAAAGGAGCAGGTAAAGGAATGGTCAGTGTATTGTATGACGCTCAGTAAATTCACAGTTTACATAAGATAAGGTGAACATAGAGTAGCTACCTGTAGAAATGTTTAACCTTTTATCTGTAGCTGTCTGCTTAGGAACAAAGGAAGGGCAGTTTCTTAGATGACTCAGCCTTCAGCTTAATTTCTTCCTTTTGATACAGTGAATTGGGTCCCAAGTTTTTATTTTTGTTTACACTCTTTACCTAATTAACACACAGGAAATAATACATTTGGGGATCCCAAATGTTGACCACTAACTTAACCAAAGTTACCAGGCAAATTAAGATACCAATAATGAACTAAAGTATTTAAATAACTAGGCTTGTTCTTCGAGTGGAGCATTTCAGGCAAGCCAACGTTCATGGATTTATAGTGGCTAAAAATAACCTTGATGTGCGCCAACTCATTTTACAGATGAGAAAATAGAAGCCCAAAGTGATTACATGACATACGTGAGCACACACAGCTGTATCTAGTGCTCTACTAGTTCTACTTTAAATGTTTATATTACCATAAACAAAGGAAGGTAAGTAGTGGGAAGAAAATCAAATTTTGCTGCAAAGCCAAATAAAAAATGACTTGAGATTGTCACCTGCTTTCTCCTTTTACAAGCATAAATAATCAAGAGTTAACTATTAATCTTGTAAAAGGCAAATAAATCTTAGGCCTCCTAAATCACTAAGCTAAAGGGAAAAGTCAAGGTGGGAACTGCTTAAGATCAACCTGCCTCCCATTCTGTTCAGTCACCCCTCTGCTCACTGAGATAAATGCATATCTGATTAGCCTCTCCTTTGGAGAGGCTATTAGGAGTTATTAGGAGAGGCTCCCAAGTTATTAGGAAAGCTCATTTTTAGCAGGTTATGATGTATCATGTCCTATGAAAAGAAAATAAGGGGAGCAAGGAAGAAAAACAATAAATAAAAGAACAATCCTGGAAAATCTATATAAGCTGCATTACTCTAAAGTCCATATACCAGTAGGCAGATATAAAAGTGGCTTATGTATGTAAATAGGTTGCTGTTATTTTCCTCTGAAGTATAATTTGTCTAGCTTCACTTTGCAAGGCTTTATGAAAGCACAGCTTAGTTTTCAGTGATTTCAAATTAAGAAAAATGGGGGAAAAGAAGGAAAAAAATGGAAAACATTATTTTGCAGGCTTATAGCCCAGAAAAAATAAATTCAGTCCAAACTCTAGAAAATAATAAAAATTGAAAAACATTAGGCCAGACTAGAATCTAACAACAGGTGTACTATAGTTTTTGAAACATAATTTTTCTCCAGTTTCCCATTTTCTTAAAGACAAATCACGGTAGAACTG